TATTTTCATATCCATAATAGTTATAAACTACATACAAAGTGATCATTAGCTTTTTTATGTTTTTTTGAGGGAAGAAGAGGGGGAAGAGCTTCATCTCCCGTCCTCTCTCGTAACCTGAAAAAAACTCGTATAGCCTAAAAGGCGTGTAAGGAAAAAAAAATGTTATAAAATAACTTTTCAGTTATTGATTCAAAACGCCAGATTTCATTGAATAATTTGATGCATCAAGATTAAAAACTGGCTAAGCTGTTAGCTCAAAAAATGTTACACAGTTATAAACGGTCAAGCTAAGTACATTACCCTGCTTGTGGGTTCGAGGTAGTTATTAAATATGAATTATGATACTATGTTATTATACTAGGGAATATATTGAAGTATTTAATTTAATAAAATAATACCAAAGCGCCTTAAGGTTATATTCGATATAATTTAATGTAAGGCCTGCTTCGAAGACATTAAGGTCTCATGCCTCTTCTGGGAACGATTTTTACATTTTTAAAATGTTGTATAACATGTAAGCCGGCAGTTACCTTTTTGCTGTATTCAGTAAGAATTTAACGTCTGTCGGATTAACTTCAAGCGTCTACTTAACTCGACTGTTTGTTGAGTCCCACTCCATTACTGTTCATTTCTCTTCGCTAATATTAAAGAGCTTTATTGAATTTACATTAACTTTTAACAATGAGGAAAACCATGTCAGAGAGTTATGGTTAAAATATTATACATAATAAAATTTAAACAGCAATAAACATAAAACTGTATTCCACCTCAAAAGAAAAAGGAAATGAATTTTGATAAATAAAATTATATTACAAAAAAGTTTGTTTTAAAACTCATTTTTAAAAATATTTTCTTAATAAATTTCTTTTGCAAAAAAATCTTTTTAGATTGCAAATATACTCTACGAGTTTTTGATGGGTTCAGTTCAGCAGAAAAAAAAAATGTAAATCAGCACGAAATTGAAAAGCCTTATTTTCTTGTTTTTAGATTGGTTTTTCTTCTTAGTAAAAACAGGCTTTTAGTAATATTTCTATTTATAAATTATTCTTTTTCCTGTATTGAATTTATTAATAAGGAATATTAAAAATGGCAGAATGAAGAAAGTTTGATTTGAACTAGCCAACTAGTAACCCAAGTCGTGCAAATAATTATTACAGTACATCGGTCACTGAAAGCATGATATGGAAGATAAGTTAATTCAATATTATGTGAATTAAATTTTTTTTAAAGGCCTGTTTGCAATGGTTCGTCATTGAATATAATATACCAAAACATACGAATAAAATAGTTTGAAGGTTATCTAGAGAATAGTTTTGAAACATAGTGAAATGTTTAGATTAACTTAATTTATTTTAGAAAAAAAAGTTGTGGATACGATTCAGTAATTCTCCGTGGAATTATGAATCCAATACCCCTAATCATTATCCGATACCCCACAGATCATGCATATGAGAATAATAGTACCTTATATTTGGAAAAAAAACAATTATGAGACTTTGCAAATTGATATACGTGGGATTGGCAAACTTGAAATTACTATATTTTGAGTATGTAAAATAAAGATAAAAACAAACTAAATATTCAAAGTTTCACCAATTTACAAACATGTAGTAGGGCGAACACACCAGTTATGAACAGGGAGCTCAGTGATGGATAGGTTGAAAATGTAAATAATAAGCTTCCTTGTTGATTTAAAGGTTCCAGTTTTTTCTAGATTGGAGAACAATGCCCTCTATTGACAACTGTATGAATAAATTTCCCAAAAGGAAATTTTAAAAGGCCTATCATTGTTATTTCTATGGTGATCAGTGTGTTTCATACAGTTTTGTTCAAACAAAGTTCAAACAGTTTTGCTGGGAGTAAACTGAACATTTATCTCATCTTATCTTTATAGTTAAACAAAGATTATAGATTTTTTTTAGTTATGTCCATTACTTGTACCGACCCCCATTACTAGAACAATTGAATTTTGGAGTGTCCATAACTAGTGCAAAAATGTATTTTTTTTTTTTAAATGGAGATTATACCGGCATAACTGAATATTTTTTCAATTTTAAAGTGTTAAATAGAAAAATGAGGCTCTGGAGATCCTAAACGTAAAACGGGGAAGTTTATAACTATATTGATTACGGCGACATAAGCAAAAAAAAAAAAAAAACTTTTTTAGCTATGTCCGTCACTGGTGCGCTTACCCTATTTATCTGGAGATCATGGAGTGATGCACGGTTTCTTTTTGAGGTATATTTTTTTGACTTTTGATGAGAGATGGTTATAGCCCGAGGTACAGACCTCTTTTAATCAAATTATTAACATCCATCTAAAACTTCCTTACTGGCTTCATCTTATCGTAACATACATCTTTTTTTATTTATGAAAATTCTAAACAATTAATAAATTTAATGAGATGCTAAAACTCATGAACAAATATTTGCTTTCGACTCGAATCGTAAGATGATTTGATCCGAAAAATATATATAACTTGTGTTATGTATTGAACACAGCCAATAAGGTTTTAAATTTATTATTTAGTGTAGGAAACAAAGGTGAACGAAACCGACTTCTGACACCAGAAACGGCGCCAAAAGCATGTAAATTAAGGACCCTATACCTGGCTCAAAGGAGGGAACAGAAACACCTTCGAGAAAGAATAAACAGGGTCATCCCCTATGCTACGAAAATTCAACCAATGAGAACCATTCTTGTCCCACCCTGAATATTTCTATAAAATCTACGAAGGTGCATAGAGCAGGGGTCGTATGTGGAGATCCGGCCTAGAGGAGAGGTCTTATGATGATGTCCGTCCCTGAGGTCTTATGTTTTCTTCCGGCTTGGGGACTGAAGCCTTGGCCCTACATAGACCATGATGATCCTGGCAGAGGTTTGAACCATGACGAGATGCTCTAAGAGCAGCGATGCAGCGATGAAACCTACCAACCACACCACTTCATATTCAATAGATAAGTGTTATTCCCAATAATCAATTTACCAATGTTATAATATTTCATGGCAATATAATTTTCGAAACAGTCCATCTGAAATCATGCCTTCACAGTTGATTATTTAATTCATTGATTCGTGTTACTATAATTTGTAATTCTTGTAAAAATAATTTGTATAAATTCTTTATTAAAAGTTGAAATAAATTAAGTTTTTTAGTAAAAGTTATTTTAATTCTGCCACCTATTTATATCATGATGATCACAGGTAATGTTTGGTAATTAGAAAGCAAGATAAACACAAACCAGCCTTTGATAAAAGAAATCTAATTAATTAATCATGGACCAAATATATTATAGATCCAAATTTATTTTACTAATTTTTATTGAACATTTCTGGGTAATTATCATCAATAATTATCCAGTGGCATCCCGAGTAAATTTTTAAAAACCCAAAAGGTAACATTTCACATTAGTAGATTCTCGGTTTTGTAATCAATGAAATGAAATGACGATACGGTATAGTATTTATTTATGCAAAGATTAATACATAATTCATTTAAATAAGTATATTCTTTAAGTATGAAAAGAAATTAATAAATTGATTACTTTACTCTTATTATTTCTTCCTCCCGTGCGGAAGCTTTCTCTTTCGGGGGTAATCTTTCTTTTGTCAGCGCTTCCCAGGGCCCAGCGCCCTATTGGCACTTCTATATATATATATATATTGGCACTTCACCTTCCAGACATCCCTGTCTCAAGCAGCTCTCCACCAGACGGGATCTGCCAACCGCTTAAACGCGTCGCCCCACCTTTTCTTTTGACGCCCTCTTCTTCTTTTCAGATCATATGGAATCCAGTATCTTGACCATCTATTATCTATGCTCAGCCCATTTCCAACTTCTCACTCTGTCCTTTTTCCTCACATTAATAAACCACCTTTCGATGTCATTCTGCCACACCTGGATCTTACTCTCTTGAGATTTTGAGGTAACCACTGGACTTATGCAACAGTAGAAGACCTGTTCGAGATCAAATTATCTTGGAGGAAAGCATTTGGCGTGGAAAGCAGATGGGCGTTCAAGAGTTTTTAGAATTTCATCAAATAAACAAAGTATACATATCTCTATATTGAAATCGCCACATTTCCGAGAATTTTCATAAATAAAAAATTGATAGATTGCAATAAGATGAAGTTTTAGACGGATGTAAATAATTTTAAATAATAAATGTACCGCGGACTATTGTATTTTTCTGTATATTCAGGTTATTACTTTCCTACCTAAAAAACGAAATTTTTAGCCTGTTTTTGAAAGATAATGAAATTTCCTGCAAAACTATATAAAAGTAGTTCATTTCGGACAACTATTAACGAAGTTACAGCTATTCAATTTCCAATATAAGATTAAGGCTACATATTCTAGTGTCAGAAAGGGATGAATGAGAGAAAACAGATAACTAAGTGAAAGTAAGAAACTCTGTTGCCCGCATCACACGAGCTTCACTATTTCCCCTGCTTTTAATAGAAATTATTGTTTGACAAAATTAGGCTATGGCAAAAAGTTTTGGATCAGTAATATTAGAGAGTATTGAAATGTTTACACTGATCTACCTTAAGCCGGTTTACATTGCTTTAGTTTATCAAATAAAAATCGTACTCAAATCTTTTCTTTGATCAATTTTCAGAAAAATAAATCAAATTCAATTTTTTTTGTTTCTTTATGGACATATTTAAAGATATAAAAACTTTTCTGAAATAGGTAGAAAAGTCGTCTGAGTGGACACAACAGATTTTTTTTTGTTTAGATGATGCCTGAATTGGCCAGAAGTGACTGATTAATTTGTTCATACCTGCCTTTAATTAGGCCAGTGGTATTTGGTTGGAATTTTCCAATTTTAACAAAATATTAAATTTTGTTGCTTCTTGAGTTTTTGCCCTTTCATATTAGATATATTATTTACTTTATGTCTAATAAAAGATTTAATTAGATACTTGATAATATTTTATTTTTACCAATATGACTTTTAATAAAGGCTTTATAATTTAATAAAGGATGCTGTTACCTGGCAGGCGTCCTTGCCGCCGGCAATATGTCCGGCACAGATCATGGTCGCTGCGTCATAACCTCTCGGCATTTTCGGCCCCGCGAGCTTATTCACCGTCGAGGTGCACAAAGTATCGTTGAATATATTCAAGTCCACTTCCAGCAATGCATTACTTATTTCACTTACTGGAACAATAATCACAAGTTTATTTAAGCACATATAATTTGTAATTATATTATATACTATAAATCTTGCTTATTGACTAGGTATTTAATGTAAATTAATAGTCATACACTTTCAAGCAGCATTGGTCACCTCGGGAAGTGTTAGACCATTACTCCTCTTAAAAATTAATAGAACATATAGTTTTAAAATAAACTGTTTATCAAAGAGCGACTTTGTATATTATTTATATTTATAAAACTTACATCCAGAATAAAGTAGTAAGCGTTAATTTACAAGTATACTGTATTATATTTTTGTTTTCTTTCTTGTGCATGGTAAGAGCTATTTTCATTTAATTTCATTCCAATACAGTCAGAAGTAGCTCCTCATTTTATATTTTTTTATTAATTTTTTTTTTTAATTTATGATATTTACAACTGTATTAAGAAAGAATACACTAAATAAATGTGATAACAGAAAATAAAAACATGAAAACACTTGTTGAGAAACTACCCATTGGTAGCACTCTAATAATTTGTCTACATGAGGAGATCACGAGGCCATCTTCTTTTCAGACGCCTAGAAATTCCTGGAATCAGGAATCGAAGAGGAAGCAAGGTTAGAAACAAGAGGATTCGGATGGTTATGAAGTTTATTATGGAAGGATAGGAATCTGGATTCGGCCGATTCGGAAGCATAAGGAACATTAAGGTCTTTATGGATGATTTTATTAGTGGCAAAGTAAGGAGCATTGAGGATTTTGGATTGTAAGGATTGGATGCGTGAGGAATTCGATGGCTTTGTGGTCTCCCAAATCTCAACTCCGTATGTCCAGATAGGTCTTATTGTCATGTATATGAGTCTTTTATAATTAACAGAAAACTTAGAGTGTTTGTCTAGTAAGTGCTGGATTTATTGTATTTAAATCTTTATAATCTTGGACCTGGTACCAAGAAAATCTAAACTACAAACGAGGTTGTTCTAGTTCAGACAAGGATTCCTACGACACATAACATTCTACGTGCTAGAATTCGCTGATGATTTTGTCTTGCTGGCTTCCAATGATCAAGATTTTCAATACAATATAAACATCGTCTAAAAAGAAATAACCGAAATAAATATGAATTTCAACCTTAGGAAGAACAAGAACGAAATGCGTAGGAAAGAAACTCCAGAGAGTGATGAGTATATTGAGGCAAAACGGAGAGAGATTGGAGCAGGTGGGTAATTTAAATTATTTAAGTACTCACATAAATGAAAATGGTTATATCGATAAAGTTTTCTAAAGTGACTCGGAGTGTCTGAAAGTGAATTCTATTTTTGCACAGCACCACTTTGTTCGGTAACGTCGTAGACGCTAATTATGAGTTAGTGTCTCAGTGTTGGGAACTTTTAACTCTGGCATTTATTCCTCCCGCCCTCACCCTCTGTCCCAAGAAAACCCCGTACAGCCTAAATGGTGAAAAAAAATACTGTTAGAAAAAGAACCGAATCCAACCTATGGTAGTTATATATATATATATAATTACGATGATTAAACGAACAATGATTGAAGATGATTCTTTAATACTTTTTTCATAAATCATGGATACATCTAATAGCCTGTATATGCATTATAATTCAAAAGATAGAACATATTGTGATTTTTTATGTATTTGCCTTAGATCACTCACAGTAACAAATACGGACCAATGAAAAAAACAAAACCGATTTATATTTTGGAGGGAAGGGAGGAAAGGAGGGTGGCTTCGGCCCGGAAACTCTCCCCTCTCAACATAAGTCCGCCAGAAGTAGATGAAAGGTCCGAGGTCGAGATAGAACCGAACGCCATCATTCAGATTAATCTAGAAGTTAAACAGACCTACACCAACCTAAAGGAGTTGAAACTATGGTTCCGACACCTCCTTAAGGTACTATTTCGCTGGCGCGGTCCACGACCGCGACTGCTCGCGGTTGACCACTGCTTTAGTTGAATAGAAAGGAACCTATTTCGCTGGCGCTGCTCGGCAGTCTAGGTATGACGTCATATCTAAGCTGCTCGGATCTGACCCCTCTTGAAGCAGTGGAGCTGTTGGCGGTTCGGCGGTTGTAGGTTATGTTATCATATCAGAGTATTGTTTTGATGATAACAGTCACGTCGATACGTTTTATTTCCTATGTTTCAAGTCTGGCAAAATTATAATAAATATTGTTTAAAACTGAAACAATCCAATAGTAAATTATTTTTTTAAGGTTGAAGTAACAAGATTATTTATTTATTTATTCCACCAGCAATATTTTACAGCGAAATACAAATATACCTAAATCCAAACGATATTAAATGAATTAAAGAATCCAACAAATTTTATCGTCAGGTAAATACTAAAATCCACCCATTGAAAAATCGATTTGTATTTTTTAATTAAAGTGGCGATTTACTGATTACTATTGATAAAACTATAAAACATCGCCTGCTGGGATTTAATTACAAATATATGATATTTATTACTAATCAATTATGTATTAATTATTATTACTTTTCAAACTAATAATATCTAGTATCAGAGGGAAATCTACACCCCTCAACACCAACCGAAGCAATAGAAGAAGAATTGAAAACTTCAGGTTTCATAGTGCGCCAGATTACAAATGTACAGAAGGAGAGTAAAGAACAGCCAGGAGTAAAAGTTCCTCTACCCTTATTTTTCGTAGATTTGGAGCCAAATCAAGGGATCGAAAAAATATACGTAATAAGAAGAATATACTACACAAGTGTTATAGTAGAGAAGCCATATCCTAAGAGGGAAATCGTACAGTGTCACAATTGCCAGGCATATGGCCATACCAGGACTTACTGCCATCATCTGCCGCGCTGTGTGAAATGTGGAGAGCAGCACAAATCCGGAGAGTGCACAAAACGAAACGGGATCCTGCAGTTTGTGCATTGTGCCTTGAAGGACATCCAGCGAACTACAAAGGCTGTCAGATCTACAAGAATATTAAATCAAGATATCAAAAATCCCGGACCCAAGAAGAAGCAGAGGCATCAAGAAGAGAACCTAACGCATCAAGAAGAGGACCTTAAAAAAAAATTGACCCAACGGTGTCTTTTGCACACTTATTAGGAGGTAAGAATGATGTTACTTATTGTGAGACCCTGCCGCAACAACAACACATACCTCAAAATTCTCAACCCCACCCTCAACATCCTAATCAAACTTCACCTAATCAACAGTTTTATCAACACCAAATTCCCCGCATTCCTCCTCCCTCAAATACCACAGATCTCACCAGTTCACTTACATCTTTCCTCTCCGAATTCAGATCCCTTGTTACTCTTTTGATATCTCTTCTCACCAATCTTGTATCACATTTTATCCCTCCCGCGAAAAATCCTTAAATGACTTCCAATAAACCTTTATCCATTCTCCTTTGGAATGCGAATGGTGTTAGAAATCACACAAACGAACTAACTACATTATTACTTGACAAAAATATTGACGTGGCACTAATTACTGAAACTCGACTAACCACTAAACAGCACTTCAAAATACCACAATACCTGACATATCGTACTGACCACCCTGACGGAAAAGCACATGCCGGTACTGCTGTCATTGTACACCAATCCCTCTCCCATCACCTACTCCCATTACCTACACATGATTTCCTACAGTCCACCGCTATCGTGATAAAAACCTTTTCCTTTCCGGTTACCCTTGCATCAGCGTATTGCCCTCCTAACCGATCCACATCCAATGCCCAATTCCGTTCTCTCCTCGACTCCTTAGGACATCACTTCATCTTGGGTGTAGACCTAAATGCCAAACATCAACAATGGGGTTCCAGAACCACGAATACTCGTGGCCGAACCCTGCTGTCTGCACTCAATTCCCAACATTTTCACCTCCTTCCCCCCAACTCTCCTACCTACTGGCCTACAGATCCCAACCGTAATCCTGATTTTCTTGATTTCTTTATCCACAGCGGCTTAAGTCCCCTCAATTGTTCCATTACACGTCTAAATGAACTTTCCTCTGACCATAGTCCTCTAATCCTTAATGTTTCACTTGAACCCGTTCCCAAACCTTCTCCACCGTCATTTATTAGGGGCCCAGTTAACTGGGACCTTTTCCGCCAAAACATCTCCGATAAAATTGATCTTAACATATCCCTCAAAACTCCCGATGACCTTGATAGTGCCGTAAATTCCTTTACTACCACAATCCAACAAGCCGCCTGGACTGCTTCCTTCCCAAAAGACCCCTCCAGAATTCGTAAAAAGACCGTTCTACCCCAACACCTCCTTGACCTAATCCAAACCAAACGCCGTGCCAGATTATTGTGGCAACGTACCCGACATCCTACCGACCGCTGCTCCTATAATTATTACTGCAAAAAATTTAAACTGGAATTAGCCACCTTCAGATCACATTCCTTCAACTCCTACCTATCCTCCCTTTCTTCTCGCGACAATTCCCTTTGGAAAACCACTACCAAAATCTTAAATCCTCACCGCATTTCCCATCCCCTCCGACGAGATGATGGCTCCTGGGCAGCATCTGACGAAGATAAGGCTGAGGAGTTCGCCATTCACCTATCCAATACATTTATTTCACATCCGGAATCCCATCCTGCCCACACCGTAACAGTAGAAGAACTCCTTACATCACCAATCCCACTTTCCTTGCTCCCAAAAGCTATTCATCCTTCCGAAGTGAAATTTCAATTAAAAAAATTAATCCCCCGTAAAGCTCCTGGACATGATCTCCTTACCCCTCAAATCCTTCGACAACTTCCATCCAAAGCAGTCATATTCCTTACATATATCTACAACTGTATCCTACGCACCACCCACTTTCCTCTGCTATGGAAACATTCCACTATTATCCTTTTCCAAAAACCAGGCAAACCTCCCAATATCTCAACATCCTATAGACCAATTAGCCTACTCCCAATCCTTTCAAAAATTTTTGAAAAGATCCTTTTGAAACGAATCCTACCCATTATAGAATCCCAAAATATTCCTTCCCATCAGTTTGGTTTTCGCTCCCAACATTCTACTGTTCAACAAGGACTCCGGGTTGTTGATCATATTTCCTCAGCCCTAGAAAACAAGGAATACTGTTCGGGTGCATTTCTGGACATTGCACAGGCATTTGACCGGGTATGGCACTCCGGACTGCTCTTCAAGCTTAAAATCCATTTACCTCAGTCCTTGTACCTAGTCCTCCGATCCTACCTCTCTGACCGCTCCTTCCGAGTTCGCTGTGGAACAGAATTTTCCAATATCTACTCCGTTAAAGCCGGTGTTCCCTAAGGCAGCGTCTTGGGTCCCGTTCTTTACATCCTCTTTACTGCTGACATCCCTGTTCATCCCGATACTTTTCTTGCAACATTCGCTGACAACACCGCAATCTTATCATCCAACTCTGATCCCAACATAGCATCCTTAAATCTCCAAAACCACCTCACCTTGATTGAGCACTGGTGTAATAACTGGCGCATTAAAGTTAATGAATCTAAATGCCAACATATTACCTTTACACTCCGACGCAGTTCCTGTCCACCAGTACACTTTAATTCCATCCAGCTTCCTTACTCAGACACAGTCCGGTATCTTGGCTTTATTTAGACCGAAGACTAACGTGGAACCCACATACTAGACTCAAAAGACAAGAACTCAACCGACGATACGGCCAGCTATACAGACTACTAAACAGAAAATCCAAATTTTCTATTGAAAACAAATTACTTATCTACAAGACAATACTGAAACCTATATGGACATACGGACTTGAACTGTGGGGAACAGCAAAAGCTTCTAACATCAAACGTATTCAATCCTTTCAATCTAAAGTCCTTCGAACAATAGTTGATGCTCCGTTCTATGTAAATAACAAAATCCTACACCATGACCTTAAGATCCCATTTGTCCTAGACCTTATTCCAGAAAAATTCTCCAAATTTCACCAAAACCTTACCTATCATCCAAATCCCCTTGCACAATCTCTATCCAGCACCACCCATCCTTACAATTCTCCTCGAAGGTTGAAGCGGCAGTGGCCCAGAGACCTTTTGTAAATAAGCATCTATTGGAGTTTTGGCAATGGCCAGATCCTCCACTCAAGCCTGAGTGTGTATGATTAGGTTAGTTCTTTTGTTTATATACATTTATTTTATTTTATTGTATTTATTTTTATTTTATTTTATTGTATTTATTTTTATTTTATTTTATTGTATTTATTATTATTAAGTTTCTGTATTATTTATTTTATTTTTTATTGTAAATAGAGTGTGAGTGTGCTTTCTCTGATCACTATTATAAATGTCCTTGATGTGACAGAATGTAATATTTCTAAATAAACAAATATATAAAGTATCAGAGGGACTTTGATGATGAGATTCACATCGAAATACTGATATTCCTTCTCTTTATGAACAACATTTTCTCTTCTTTTTCCAAAAAAAAGCGGTAGTCAGAGATGTTCATTATTATAGGATGTTCTTTTTTATTATTATATTATGTCCATCTTTTTATCTTCAAAGATACAGCATAATGTTCGAAGGTTATAGGCAGGTTATAACAACCGCAGTGAGCAGTTTCAGCGAAATAGGTACGCCAACAGCGGTTGGCAGCGTGGAATAGCGGTCGCTGTCGTGGACCGCGCCAGCGAAATAGTACCTTTAGGAAGGCTTATAAAAAAATCTTCAGAAAGACCTAAGGAACCTTGTGAAAGTAAGGAGATGAAGAGGTAGACACGAAGGGAAGTGAAAATAGATTGGAATACGAGAAGATTGGCCTAATCACGGGACAATGGCATAGAACGGAGAAAAGAAAATGATGAGCTTATTATAGAATAATTAAGAGAGTGGATTTCCTAAGCATAGCAGAAGTTATTGAATATATTAAATATATATAAATATTTATTTATTTTTTACTATAAAGATTATTGTCTAATTTTACTCTCTTATGACTCTATACCAAAGGAGTTTACGAGCATGAGATCTATACTCTAGGTGAAGCTTAAAATAATCGACTCACCAAAACCGGTCCTTCCCCATCCAGTGACCGTCGCTATCGAGGAATGTATGTTCCTGCTGAAGTGGAGGCAGGCCGGAGCCACCCAGGATGTGAATATAACGTCACTGTCCATCTTGAAGAGCGCAATGTCGTGGTAAGTCGCAGGTTCCTGGTAGTTGGGGTACTTCAGCCTCTCGACGATCTCCTTTTCTTGCGGCCTGGCGTCGTCTTCGGTGGTTGAGATGTCTAGTTCTCCCAAGAGCACCCATCTCGCTGCACCTCTGTAACACAATACCAAGGCATAATGGATGCTGTTAGGCTATCAAGGAAAAACCGCTAAGCTATCGGGTTTCAGAGCCCTCCGAACCTTCACTACAACAACTACTTCAAAATCGAGGAATGTGGGGCACTCGACCTGGTCGCTCTTAAGCGGAATTTTATTAAATAAATAGCTCCAGGAGCGACCAAAGGCAACAAGTTAAGTGTTTTGGGTTAGGCAGTGTTTATTAATGTTGATACTTCCGTATTTTCACAAGGCAGTAGCGCAGCCATCACAGTGACTCTCCAATCTCAGATATATTGCGTGTACTCATTTTATAAGATTAGTTTATCCAAGGTTAAGACAAAAAATACTTCCATTTTTCTTCAGTCCATTTAATTACATCCGTTATATCTTACGTTTCGGGACGGTTTTCCCATCATCAGAGTATTCTTATGTTTACTTCTTTCAGTGATGTGGCACCAGTTGTCAAAAATTCAATAATTGTCATATATATTTAATATTTTTTGGGTGTTACGCATTCATTTCTTGTTCATTATTACACCAACCAACAGCAGATGTAATTAAAAGGACTGCAGAATAATGGAAGTATTTTTTGCCTTAACCTTGAAAAAATGTATAAACGTAGGCTTCCTAAAAAAAGAAAGATAAGACGATAAGATTAGTTTAATTCAGAATGATCTATCAAACCAAGAATATTTTATTCAATATTTTATTCCCAGCCTATAATTTTCTTTTTTTCCGTATATTTCTATTTTTGCAGTTTAAGACTTTAATACGATGAATCAGTGTATGTTTTAACCGTATTATGCATTATACTGTTTGCATTGTTTATTTATAAGAACTGATTTAAACTCTAATTCAAGTTAATACAACATATTATTTATTTAAGATAGCGTAATAATCATGTGGGAATAGCGTCAGATTCATAAAGAACGAATCTGATACAAAATAACTGAACTGCTTTGGGCGTGAGTCGTAGTTCGTCAAAGGTTTCTGGTGTTCATTCAGTCCTTTAAAAAAAAAAAAAAAACAGTTATTGATATTGGTCAGGAATAAATAAAGAAGTTTGAATACTGACACAATATTGAATTAACTTTCCCATTAGATTGAATACTAAATTGGATACTAAACAACCCACAGGAACATTTTCTTGATTTTCTGGCATGAGAGATTTGTATTGGTAAACTGCTTTGTTAACTGGAACTTTGTTATTTATTGATTTCACCTTTTTTTATTTTCTTTGAGAAATTCTGAAAGAATACCATCTTCACTTTGTCATTATTCAATATTTTAATGGATTTCTTTTTCTAATGATTAAGAAAAAAAAAAGATATGGTTAATATATATATATATATATATATATATATATATATATATATATATATATATATACATATGTTTTCTTTTTCTCAGCATTGAAAGCACTTAAAATCATCAAGGGGTACTTATTTTCTAGTTTTATTTATTTTTACTTATTATTTAAACACTTATTTACTTTGACGAAGAACTATTACAAACCCTTTTTATTAAAATTAATTTTTTAAATTTTCATTCACAAAATCATACGGCTACAATATATAAAGACTATAATTAGTACATAAAATATTTTTTTAATTAACAAGACCCTCATAAAAGTAAATAAGTATCAAAAAATTGATACCTTTTGAAAAATTATATTAAGGATTTTATGACGAACCAAAACCTAAAATTTTAAGGAATTGAGGAAGGTGTGTTAATTTTTTATCTAGTTTGATGAAAATGATTCATCATTAAAATAATAAACCAAAACCAATAACAACAAACAAATAATACCTAAAGTATTAATAATTGAGACCCTTCCGTGACATTCAGGCAATACGGAACATATATTAAATGACCTATAACATAGGTGATGAACCTTTTTTATCATTAGGGACCACACAAAGGTCAAGATAGTGCTTATGGAGGCCGCAACAATTATTTATATTTTCTTTTCCTATTTTTATTTGTCTTTAAATACACAGCCATATACATATTTTGTACTTATACATATACTATTAATTTTCAAATTTTAGTAACCTAAATAATCAAATATTAATTAATTCTAGCGCTAGATTAATAAATATTGCGCAAAAACGTTTGCAGGTCCCACTCGTTACCGATAATATATAACCTACTCTTATATATTATTTTATTTGTTTTGTTTCACGCATAAGGTCAGTTTAATAATAATCAAATCAGTTTTTGATTGTTATTTATTGTACGTTTCGGTGAATCACTGCCTCCCTCTTCAGCAATATTTATTCTCCGAAAAATTGGGTGTTACAAATATTTTAATAAGTTTGGTATAACGGATGAATAAAATATTGCTGAAAAGGATACAGATTCCCGGAAAAGTACAATAAATAACAATAAAAAATTAATATGATTATTATTAAACTGATCTTGAGGCACATACTTAACGATATTGAAAATAAAGGTCCAAATTGGAAAATCGTATTTAATTTAGTATAATGCCTGCGGATTAGAATATTCATAGAAAGTTCAAGTCTACTGATTTTACTTCTCTTGATCGACTTCCTTATCATGATTAATTGATACTACTTACAGAAAACGGATTTCCTTCGTCTTATTGCCGAGTTTCTACAGCTTCCAATAAGTTCTTTAAATAGCGTATTTGAGTAGAGTTGAGAAGTGTTGTTTGTCCTCAAAGTTGTTCCTCGGTTGACTATGACACCGAAATCGATGGCTCTCCAGTTCTTGGGTGGCCATCCATCAATTATCGCCCTACATATTGGGCTTCTGTTTTGCAAGCCATGGCCTGTTGGATGGTGTAACACATGGCTGAGAATGTCGCTCTTTTGTCAAATACACAACTTTGACATAGTATGTATCTTGTACTATATTTTTGTTTGTAGACTATCCAAAAAATGTTTATTTTCTTCCCAATGACTTTTACCGATACATTTTTTTTAATTTATAAAAGTAATTTCTTTTTTAACACTGTCATCACCACCTATGCCGATGACACATATATTCTATCAGATAATAACGATCCATCTATCCTAAACTCTTTAATCACACCTAAAAAACTTGTAGAACGGTTTGTGGCAGTTGAACAAATCCGATACCTAATACTCCACCTGGACAAACGTCTAACTTTAAATACTCATACCAGAAACAACAAGAAAACGCTCAGCAGTAACGGTATTTCCTGGACAAACGCTCTAAGCTTCCAATTAGTAACAAATAAAATCATCCGTAAGAATTAATGCTCCTTACATTTCAGATTTGGCCCAATCCAGATACCAATCCTTCCATAATTAACTTGAGAACCATCCCAACTCTCTCGTTTCTAACTTTGCTTCCTTTTCGATAACTGATAACCCTCTGACGTGTCTGACAAGAAGATGGCCCCGTGATCTTCTAATGTAGACATATTATTAGAGTTCTATCAGTTGGTAGTTTAGGACAAGTATTTTATCCAAATTCTGAGTCCCAAAAAATGTAATTACTTCTTCAGTAAATATCAAACGATTAACTGAAGTAGTGATTAAATTCCAAATAGTGATTCAATTAGAATAAAACACATGGTACTCAGTACTCATAGTAACATTTACCCATCTGTGCTCTCGACAGGAACTTTCCTCTATTACTAAGGAACTCCTCCGCCACTACCAAAAGATCAGGTTGGTGAAGACCAGAAGTATTACAGACCATCCCTGGGCTATATTACATCTGAACTATTTTAAAATACAATATAAAATAAATTTATTGTATTTTTATTATTCGACTACTACAGCACTTGCTAGACAAACGCTCTAAACTTCCCACTATTTACAAAAGACTCATATATATTACTATAATAAGGCCTATTTGGAGTTACGGGATCGAGCATTGGGGCTCTACTAAACCATCAAATTCCTCTCGTATCCAATCTCTACAAGCCAAAATCCTTCGTAAAATCCTCAATGCTCCCTACTTTGTCACAAATAAAATCATCCATAACGACCTTAATGTACCATATATTTCCGATTTAGCTCAATCTAGATACCTATCCTTCCATAATAAACTTCTCCGAAATCCGAACCCTCTTGTTTGCAACCTTGCTTCCTATTCTATTCCTGATAACCCTCCGAGGCGTCTGAAAAGATGGCCTCGGGACCTTCTAATATAGAAATATAATTGGAGTGCTACCAATGGGTAGTTTCTCTTCATGTTGTACATGTCACGTCATGATATTTCGTATTTACTAGTTGTATTTATCATTATACAGTTGTAAATTTCAATAATAATAAAAAAAATGTTATTATGTTTTGCATTTTAAGAAGTAAAATATAAAATAGATTGTTCGTAACTTTATTTTCTTTTTATAACACAACATACTTTTAGTAATTTGTATTTGAAATACTTATTCTGGAAACAATTTAAATGCTTTGTAATTGTTTTGATTCAATAACAAAGTATTTGCAAAAGATGAAATACTTGATATTTTAAATACTGTATTGTAAAATAAAATACAGTACTTTTTGCCCAGGCCGAACTAAGCTCCAGCGGTTTCAGAACGGAGTTCTGAGACTTATTTCAAGACACATTTTATTACAGAGGACAAAAACGTACTTAATCCACAAGAATTTAGAACTATCGACTGTGACGGACTTTATAATAAGCTGGTATATCAAATTTTGTGATGGGCTGCATTAGGCGACTAACTTGCTTTGTAAAAGACTTAACTCAGACGAGACGGGCACAGAGGTGGCAAACGCTTACAATAAGCCTCAGGCTTGACTAGACTGAGCACTACTGACTAACTGGATCGACACAATACAACTAGTGAGCCCCATTATTAAGTTAGCAATCTGGAACATGTGGCGAAACAAGTGGGAACAAGGAGAATCGAAATTAAATCCCACTGTTTAAAATGGGAAACCTCGCACCGATCATCTCGAAAAGAGGTTTCTGCAAAAACAGTCCTTTGCAGACTGCGAATTGGACATTGTGAGTTCTCGCACTCCTACCTACTAAGAGGATTTGATCCTCCGACCTGCGAGAGCTGCAATGTCCAAAGGACAGTAAAGCACATTATTCAAGACTGCCCTTCATCTGAACCTACAAGGAAAAAGTTAGACATGGCACAGAGTCTAAAAGAATACCTACAAGACTGTGAAAGTGCAGTAAAAAAAACTTTAAGGTTTTTAAAAGTGATAAAACTCTACAACAGAGTGTAATTTAAAGGTGTTGCCAATATGATGGCCTCCTACAGATGACCCCACAGCGTAGAGGCAACAAAACATCAAATAAATAAGTTAGCAACCACACTATCAAAATATCAATTTTACTCTTTATCGGCCTAAGGATACATCCTAAAGATAAGATGTATCTTAGAGAATAAGTAAAACATTAGAAAAAAAATTGGTACTTTCGTTAGAAAAAAATGTTCAAAGTATTATTTTTCTGGAAATTAAAATTGTAACAACGGAAATAAAACTTTGTATGGTTATAAAGAAATTATAATTGTAAGGTGTTTCTAAATACATACCTATACTTATTTAAACATATATGGACACATTCCTCACAGATTTATAGGTAAAAAGAACCACTTACAAAAACTGCAAACTTTCCAATCAAGCATATTATGACTAAAGTAAGTAACCAAACCTGACCTCCATCCGGCTAAAGTCGACCAACACATAAGGACTCTTTACAAACTATTTCATTCTAATTTACATGGACATAGTAACAAAAGATATATCCATACTAACAAAAATGTAATACTAATAAAATATATGACTTTAGCTGACGTACCCATCAATACGAGGAGGAGACTAAAAAGACGCTGGATGTGAGACCCCCCCCTCCCCTTTAAAAACCATCGCCGTTGAATCAAACCAGAGAAGAGGTACTGCTGGGTGCTATACATACCTATGTTTGAAATATCAGTTTCGTTACTTTTATCAGACCATCTGCTACTTGTCGACAATTTGTCGATAGGTGCAGATATATAGAGCTAAAAAAAAAAATAATAAAAAATAAAATAAAGTATTTCTCTCTCTTGTTTGTATTTTTAGCTTCGAAGTAATTCGGTGATGTCATAAATGTAGAGGAGTCATTCAGCTTCCGAGACCAATAAAGAAATTATTGAAGCAATAAAGGAATTTAATATCACTTATGGGAATAAGAAATACGATGTGATGATAACAAGCGACTGCGGAATTTAATTTGAAGACGAATATAGAAGAACTGAAGGAAGTCACTGAATTCCTTTACAGTTTATTTCTTAGCTTACAACGCTTGTTCACAATCCGTGCCCTGTTTTATGAAGATGATTTTTAAATAAGATATAAAAAAATAAAAGGATAATTGTATTGTGTCTGATACAATCGGTATATTGTATCAGACACAATTCTGTGTTATTGGTTGATTCATTTAAATATTCATACCGTGGATAAAAAAACGCAATTGACAGAGTTATTTAAACGGTTACCTCTTATTGTTCGCGCTCATAAATCATTCGTTTATTCTTACCCATAGCCTTCTTTCCATCTTAACCAATCCTTTTAATTTAGCCTGTAATCTTTCTTTCAATCTTTTTCCACAAAAGATTTCTTGTTTTGCTGAATTTAAAATTTTGCTTAACAGTCTACTTGGTGTTTGCCCTTTGCGCTTTACCAACCCTCAATAACTCTGAGAGAACTGAAAAGTGTGCTACTGACATATTTCTAGATGTCGCCGAGGTTTGACAGATTCTGACATCAGCTATCTTAGAATTCAAGTCGATAACCCCGTCGCACGTCATGTCCTCCAATACTTCAAAATCTTTCTGACAGGTTTTTTTTTCCCGATGGACTATTCCAAGGATCAATGCATATACAATGGTAATACTACTATACTTTAATATATGCATATACTATAAATGAATGTATAGTACACAATATATCGTTGGTTTATTGCAAAAAGTCATTAAGTACACCATTGGTTGAGTTAGAGCTGAAAGTACTTAGCTGTTAATTTCGATCTTATTTATCGATAAAATAACTCATTAAGCGCATAAGAATAATACAAATACTTTTAAACGTAAAAATAGTTTCACTAAGTGCACGATGTTATAACTTTACAGAACGAAAAATCATCAGTAACTTAATGAAAATTTTGTTCTATAAATAAGGTTACAGAAGAACGCCAAAATTCACTACTGGTACTTTATGACTTCTTTTACTGGATTGATTGATCAAATGGTTAATAAAACTAACTTAGTGAGGTAACTATAACTAATTAACGTAAATAACTAAGTAAGTGAGGCCTAACTCACCTTCTGTGTACTTGCTAGATTATGAAAGTAAGTTAGTGTTTTATTTATCTAGAATATAGTCACTACGTCGTGGTTTCAGTTTATTCAGTTTTTGAAGTGAAAACTGCTTTAGGCGCACTTATAACTTTATTTGTGGTTAGCGAATATGGCTGATCCTTCAAGCTCGGCTATGTTAACGCTATGACGGTAAAGTCGGCTTATAATTAAAAAGGCTTATTTCAAAGGACTCGAGTTAATGATGACTGAAATCTATAAAGGGAATTTTCAATTTCATCAAAAAATATAAAAAATAAATAAACTAATGTTTCTCAGATAATGCACAATACACAACATAGTATCGTTCTTATCAGATAAGCAGTGTACATATGTTACTGGCTTTCCTTGTATAGCTTTCATTTTTTTTAAATAATAGGTTTCGATATATCGATATAAATTTTTGTCGTCCAAACATATAAAATATCTAATTATCAGTATATCGATATTTTTTTTTAAATATCTACCTGTAAGCCATTTCTTATTTACTTCATCATGTCTCTGAAGCCTCGGAGTCGAATTTTGTCTCATAGAATTTTTTCATCATAGAATAGTCATATCTTATCTGGTTTCATCAATATTCATTCCCTAATTATTCAACATTCTTTCTTTTATTCTTATTTCACTACTTTTTTTTATTTACATGTTTTTATAGATAAATATTTAAATCTGAGCCTGTTTGTTTCCTTTATAAGCCTCATTCAAAACATCCTCCTTACCTCTAACCTTTGCAATAATAACTATTTTCAAGTAATTTTCGAATGGATCAATAGCAGGGATGAAGGGTATTATAGTTAGGCCTTATGATTATGGCTCATTTATCGGTGAATAAAGTCATTAGGGAGGTGTCAATAAAGGGGGAGGGGCGGGTAGAATGAATGAATAGAGCACAACAAAATCATGAATTAGTCGGTTTAGATCAGCCAGGTTTTCATTAGGGAGAGATTTACACGTTCTTGCCCCGGTGAATAAACCCCGCGCACATGAACTCCCGGTGAATAGGAGACCGATGGGGATGAATAGATCTAGGAACAAACAGAGCTGATGGGAGCTGGCGACCAGGATCATGGGCCCTATTGTCGAGAGAAGCTGCTGAGTTTCACGACGACAGAGGAAACGATTAGCTATTAGGGGAAAAGAAAGAATGGTAATTTTAGTTAATTTATACTATTGGGATATTACAAAACAATATCTTAAACAGCTGTACATAACAAGGGAATTAGGCATCAATGAGTTTGAATACCTTTATCACGAGTGCTGCATAATTAAATAAATTTTCAGAGATAATTTCATTTAGTAATGACTGATGATAAAAACGAATTGTATTAGTAGATATGTGTCATTGGATGTAAACTCAACACAGGATTAAACCTCACCATATCAGATTGAAATTCGGCCCAGTTAGACTAACCCATTAAAGACATTTTGCCTGCAAATACTGATGAGGCGGCAGCAGATTCCCGCCACTTGCAACAGTGGACAACTAGTTCATCTACCCTCTATCTGGCAGCGCGACACAAGCTCGCTAGTGCAATGTACTTAAAAATTGTATTTTTTCCCTTATTGTAATATGATAAAACACCCAAATTATAAATTGAAATATGTATATATATTGTCAATACTTTTTATTAATAAAGTTTAATGGCGATAACATATACTGATCAAAGCTTAAAAATAACTGTAATTGTAACGGCTCTTGATAGACGATTTAGTCATGAATGAATACCGCAGTCCTTATCCAAAATTGTTAGGTCCTCGGATCTCCACTCCTTCAGGGTGTAGACCTCTACGCAGTTGATCGGTATATGATACATATACGCTTTTTGGTCTTCAACAATCTGCTTTTATTCCTCTATGACCATTAACCTTTTATCCTCTTCTCTTACTTCATGCCAGTCTGAATGCTGATCCGTCCGCTTGTATTCCTATATACTAAGTCAGGAGATTGGTCCCTCCGTTAGTATTTCATCCTCCTACAAAGTCTGGAGATTGATCCCTCCATTTGTGGTTACCATCCCTGCGCAGTATTAAGGTTGATCCCTTACACCGTAGACTAAAAGTGATTTGGGTGCTGATCCAGCTGACATTTAAGGTCATCCTTCTACTCATCTTCCTTCATCCACACTTAGTCATTTTACCCTCTATACTGAACATACACTGTCGAGACCTTCTGGTAAATGTATTCTCTGTGCACATACACCTAGACACTGACAATTTTTTTTCATTCTTATAATTTCAACTGGTTATATATCTGCTACCTTACGCATTTTTAACTAGTTTTACATTAAGCAGGTACGTAATGGAGGTTAAAGTAAGTTGAATTTGCCAAATAAACCTTTCGATAATTGAAACTTAATTAACATTAAATCAAACTAAGAAGAAATTTATTTTTCTTCCCTCGGAATATTTCTGAATGATTAAATAATTATCTAAAAAAACCTATACTACTAAGAACCCATGAAGGGTCTTGAGTTTAGTACAATGTGAGGAAGTACTGTTATAAGTCCAACGGTTGTGCAGGGATGTGACGGACCAATATCACGCTCAACCGCCAGGCTTTCTCCCTTAATTTATTATTTAATTAAGAGTTCCCACTTTATAGAGGCTGGGTTTGCTAAAGGAAGGTTATCATAGTACATTAAATTAATTTTTCTAAACTATTACAGTTAACGAAGAGTTACAGTAAAATATGGGATAATATAATAGTTGACTTACAACTTAGTGGTCTGTGAGCAATGCGCCGCACTCAAAACGAATCGACTACTGATGAGACTTCCTCCACAGAGCCATTGCTTGTTCTCTCCTACCCCGTACCCGATCATCACCTATAAAAGGTTTGTATAAATTACATATAGGACAATATGTTGTAATTATATAAACATCTTATATAATAACTGATAAATATATTCCAAATAAAGCTTAGGGATACAGAAGGTAAAATTCACTTATAAAAAAGCTTGCATGCTTAAAGTATATTTTAAAGCATGTTTTAGAAGAAAACACGCTACAAAAGATTTCATGATGGCTTCAATCAAGTTGACAGATAACACGCTTAGGATGCTCGAAAGAAGCTGGATGAAGGACCCCGCTTAAGAATGTATACTAAAATCAAGGAAGAAAGTGATGCCACTGGGTTAGTACTTCTGACAGATGTGGGCAAACAAATATTTAGGGAAAAACTTGTCTAAAATTCTTGGGTGGATTTGGATAACATTAATATGGAGCAATTAGGCAATATATACAAACCCGCACAACCCCTAGACATTTCATTAAAATCGCATCAACGGGATAGTAGGTTTTGTGCCTATAAAGTATTCAACAGAGGAAGGGCTCATAACTAAGACCCGTAAAAGTACTTCCCAGGAATGTTTCTTTGATTACATGGTAAGATTTTAAAAATTTAAAAAAAAATATGAAATTTATCAAATTATTCATACAAGAGGTTACTACAAGATTTATTGCATGTTTTTTTTTTCTCTTAGAAAACTCATTTCACAGCTGAAGTGTCATTTATAGAACGTGTTTTGTTTTTTTCATCACGGGGCGGAACTTAGATCCACCTTCAAGTCTCGATCCGCCTCAAGGGACTTATTAGAGGCTTCAATGTGGATGAACACAAAGATTATAATGTTTTATATATATATATATATATATATATATATATATATATATATATATATATAGAGAGAGAGAGAGAGAGAGAGAGAGAGAAAGATAGAGAGAGAAATACTTCAAAAGTAAACAATGTAGCAGGATGCGCTATTGTAAACTCTCAAATTCAAATATTCTTTAAACTTCCAGGTATCTGTCGGGTGTTGAGTGGAGAGATGTTTGTAAAAAAAGAGAAACCTTTAGGTACATTGAGTCAACTGATGGTAACTAATGGGCCGTGGTTACGGACTCAATGAATGCAATCCTAGCTATCCAAAACAAAAGGCCAATAACTAAACTGGCTAGAGCTATAAGAAATATTTTATGGAAATTAATAAACAAGCAAAAGGAAATAATGTTCTACTTGTTTTCACACTTCAGCCAATATGGAGAGAATGCGAGAAACAACTGAGGTTGTTATAATTAATAAAGTTCTTGTGAGTTTTCACATGCCAATCTGCTAAGAAGACTGAACCCACTAACCTGCAAGAGCTGTAAGGTGCAAGGAACAATCCAACACATCATTCAAGACTGCCCTATCATTCAAGACTAAAATGAATAAGGCAAAAAAACCTAAACGACGGCAAAAAACATAATTTAAAAAAATAATAAAACTCTACAACAAAGTTTAAGTAAAAGGTGTTGCCAATGACCCTGCAAGATAGAGGCAACAAAAAACGCATATAAATTAATTGGAAAATAAATAAATAAAAATAATTCATTTTTGTTTCTGATTAACGGGAGGAAGTTACAAAATAATAAACTATTTATTATAATACTGAAAGAAACTAAATTTAAATAAATCTAGAAGGATTTCTTATGATCCGTGGTACAAACCCCTTTTTATCAAATTATTAACATTCGGCTGAAACTTCTTAAATTACTTAATCTCATCTTAACCTACAAATACTTTATTTACGAAAATTCTCGGAATTGAAGCGTTTTCAATCTGGAGGGAGGCAAAGTTTGTATATTTAATTAGGTACTAAAAACTCGTAAATATTTATTTGTTTTTCCACCAGAATCGTAAGATGATGTTAACTTCAAAAAAGTTGTCCTGCAAAAACAATGAGCCGTTTGGCGTGATCTTAACCGCCAAATTGTCAAAATAACGAGGTCATATAGGACAAACGGCCCAATATTTTTGTAGGCCACCTTTTTTATCCAATTTTTGATCAATTTATCCTACCATCCAAATGGAGAGAAAATGGGTATCTACGAGTTTTTAATACCTAATTAAATAGACAAAATTAGTTCCCCTTCGGATTGAAAATGCCCCAATTTCCAAAGTTTTCATAAATAAAATAGTTGTAGGTTACGATGAGATGAAGCTATTTACGAAGTTTCAGATGGATGTTAATAATTTGATAAAAATGGGTCTGTATTACGGACTATTAATTTAGAAATAATAGTGTCTCTGAATGTTATGTAAATGAAAATAATTAAAAAATAAAAGTAATATTAATAAATCATTGAGAATAATATGTATATGAAATTCCTTATTACCAATAAGACATACATACCGATACATAATCCTTTTCAGGTAAACACACAAACAATAATTTATTGTAAAGATTTTTACCATGTGAGGATGTTTTTTAGGCTGTGCAAGACGGCCTCCCATAATTCTTGTGGATATGTCGTTTCTAGTTGTTCGTCTCGCCGCACATTTTTTCTCATATCGGCTACACCCTGCGTAAGAATTAAAAATACTTTTTGTCACTTTTAATTATAAATTTATAAGAGTTTACTTTTTTGTTGTTGTATTTGTTCAGGTTTCTGATTGTGAAAAGAAGCCCTAAAATATAAATAATACGTTAAACAAATTTATACTTTAATTTATCCCATTTATTTTATAAAAATGAAAAAAAGACTAACAATTGCTCGGTGACACTTGACCTCTAATGCTTCACCAATTATGTTTCAGCTTAAGTCCAATTATTTTAGTTGATCTTCGTTCCAAGTATCTTCACGTGTTGCAAGAGATAAAACTAATTTACTTATGTTGTTAAAAACAAAAGACTTATTTATCTTCGAATTGCTTGTTGTAATATAATATAATCATTATTCAAATTAAATTATAATTCTAACGTTTTCTAGAAAGTATTCAGGCAGGTCAAGAAATAGTCATAATTTGACCATGTTATTTGAGTTGTAAATTCGAGGTGCTTTTTCCATTAATTCCATTCCAAAACAATGCTAGTCAAAATCATTTAGGTGATTTTATTAATCGCATATATGTCGATATTGCCTAATAAGTTCTATTTCTCGTTCATAACAGAATTAAGTGATTCTGATGAAGAGGCAATTCACGTTGAGAAGCTGCCCTCGACTTAATTCGTTTTGTTGTTAGAAGTATCTTCTTATTCTTCCCTGGCTCTTCAGTAGGGCCTTCGCCACCTCAACAATGCCTATTCAATCCTCTCTATCAGTCCGGCTTCTCTCCACCACGTCAATGATCCATCGCAGACTGGGTCTTCCACTCTTCCTATTTGCCAATAGTTTTGTCGGGTCTATATCTTCTCATTGTTGGGTTCAGATTTAGTCAAGTCTTAAATCTCGTTTATAATTTATCGCTGAGCTCCTATGCATTACTTGAAAAAAAAAAGTTAGATAGACTCAGAAATTCAAACAAAATTAGAGCGTAACCTATAAACTCAGGTTTATAAAATACAAATAAAGGTCCTTATAGATTGATTATTTTACTAGTAACAGAATGTGTAATAATTGTAAATGTATTATTGAAATTTATCTGTAACAAACACAGGGTAGCGAAATGTTCATATTTATATCTATTAAATATATATCAGCAGCCACACTGCCAGAGCCTGTAAGAACAAAAACTAAAAAATGTTCAGGAGACGAAAAAAATTGTTCTATAAGCATTATATTTTCGGTTCAATTTTTTTTTTTTTGCAGGCCTAAGACAAAGATGTAATGATCTATGTAACGATGATATATTTTATCGTATTTCTGCCAAATATTCTTTTGGAGCTATTACTTATAACTTATAGCTTTTTAGTTACTTTGAAAAACAGGTATTAGGTGAAAACAATCAAATTAATTGTAGTAACACCTATAACTTTGTTAATAACGATCCGAGCACGACAGGTTTCAACAAATCAGTTTCAAAAATGTAGAGAAACAATACTTCAAATGAAAATTTTTAAAATATTTGATCACGCTTTTTGTCCACCGCTGTAGAGACGGCTGGAATTGAGTGCATGCGCCCCATTTTGGAGTAGTCTATGAAAGATCTGTTTTTAACGTACTCAACTTCATATGGACATGGTTTGATTCACGAATGCTTGATAAGTTCTAAGTAATTTAGTATCTTATAATTAAGTAAGTAAGAGTTCATTTTTCGTCTTGTGTTAATTTTCCAATTAATGAAGTTAATTCTTTGTCTCTCACTATTTGGAATTCAGCGGCTTTTATCCAGTCAAGATCATTTTGCAGTGTCCGGGAAGTTTCGATTGTTTTGAAGGCCGTTTAATATTATATTCCCATTTACCACACTTTTCTTTCGCCTATTTCTATGGTAAGCGACGTCCTCAGGGCAGGGAAACCCGAACATTTGCCCAAAGGCACCGCTCAGGAAGTGCCCCTCACTTACTAGAAAGTAAAAAAAAAATACAAAGCAAATGAGAAAAATTAATTTTAGTCTATTAATATCGCTAATTAATATTGTAGTCAAAGCGCAAAACGCTTTGTAGGTTCTGTATTTTTATGACTATCTTTCATTACGTGTTTTTGATAACGCCACAAGCTCTATAAACTTCAATGTTACTTACAGTTTTTTACATCACAATTTGCTGGTTTTTAAATTTCCGATTTTTACAAAAGTTCATACAGAAAAAATGAAACATTTTTAGATTTCATTTGTGGGATCAAAATGTGCATTAGGACAAGAATGACCAGAAAATCTCAAAATCTCATTTCCCATAGAAATTTTCCTCATAGGCTTTTGCAGTATGGCTGTCGATATGATGATTTTCTTTTTTTAATAATAAAACTAAATATAATTACTAACTTACACTTTGCAGCGGGTCGCATTTTGACGCCATCCATTCCTTCCAAGGAGTCCCTTTCGACTTCATTTCCAAAAGGTTCTCTCTTAGTAGTTTTTGCCCTCTGAGGGAAAGACGTTGAGGTCTGCCTTTGGAACAGAACATCGCGCTCATCTTTTACTCTAGTTCCCGAGCTGTATTCACTAGATCTCCACCTTTCCGTCGTGTATCGCATAGTGTCTTCTCTCTTGTGCTCTTTGTTCTTGTTATCAGGACGATTCGGTCCGGAGAAGCTGGCCACGAAATCGTCGTAGATAGGGCTCGTCGGCATCCTCCATAATGTACCTTGAATCATAAGATTACGTATAACGTATGATGAAATAATAGAACTTATAACTTGGGTTTCCTTAGGAGGACTTACCTGGAGAAGTGGAGCTTTCACGCCTGGCACTGTGGAACTCTGGGTGAGGATGACCTTCTTCGATGCTATCTTCCTCGTGTTCTTCGTAAGGATTTCTTCTGAATTCTGACAAGAAAATAAAATTTAAAGTATTGTCAAATAAACAATATTTCCTATTCCCTTCATTTTTGTCTTGAAGGCCATTTTCATTATCCAATAAGAAGATTTTTTCTTTAAAGGCAAATGGATTTGAAAATACACATCTTTTTGTATCCAATCCACTCCCACACTAACCCTGTGATAGAGCCGTTTATTGATTGGAGTACATGCTCAATGCTCTGTAAGCATATGGCCTTAATGAAAGTCCTGTTTACTTTGATAAGTTAATGATAACATAATTAATATATTGATATTAACATCTTGTTATTCTACTTGTATGTGAATTGTGATTTACATTAATTGGTAATGTTGTTGAGATTGATTTTAACATTAAAAATTTTGGACAAAATAGGAATTAAAAATTTAAATGAACAAAGAACATATAGATAATAAATAATATAAAGTAATTTAAATAAATTAAAAAAATCAGGTATAAAATGATAATATATACGAGGTAAGATAATATATACGTAAACAATCATAATTATATAAGACTTGGGTTTACAAAGGGGTTCAGAGTGTGATTTATTGCAAGAGTGGCAGAATTTAAGGTGTGAAAAAATACATCTAAATTTGAGGAAGTTTTTTTACTATGACTTGTTAGGTGTTGATGTAAAAAAGCATAGTGTTGGCGTGTTGTCTGTTTTAGCATTCTTGATTCAAGTGTTGCTGGTTCGAATCCGGCTGGACGTGTTGAATTTCATGAAACGATTTTCGACCATTTCACTTTGGTTAGAATAGGTTTGGTTGTACCTCTAGAAAAATCCCCTCAAATATATTAGAAATGGTGAGGTAGGAGGTATTTGGAAAAAAAAGAAAGCGCCTTTAGTATTCTCGTTGTTACTATTAAGTACAGATATGAACTAGGGGTTAATCCTCTAGATGAGAAAAATGGGGAGCGGGTTGGCTGAGCGTGCTTACGCGTGTGCACAGCACCGTACGTTGTTCGGCAACCTGATAACCACGTTCTGATATAAACAAATATTGATGTGTTCAAATCTCGGTGCTCGGTGGACATTTAACTCGGCATGATTCCCTCGCCCTCTACCCTGGTCCGGGAAAAACTCCGTATAGCCTAAAAGGCAAGGAAGGGAAGGGAAAAAAAAGAATGGGATATTTATCCTCCCAATATAATCATTGATAAAAAACAAAAAAAAAACAGCCGGTGTGTTTAGAATATGTATAGTATTTATTTTCATGTTTGAACTTAAAACTGATAATAAAAAGAATTTTATTTGATTTTTTTTTAATGTTCTACGTAAAAGAGGGAGGGTAATGACAATAGAGGGAGCAAATTAATAAATCTAATGGAAATTGGAGTCTGAATGATATCTGAAGTGACGAAAAAATCTGAAAAAATTGATAAATAAGTTACTTTAATAAGAAATTTAATTATATTCAGTACTTATTCTTAATTCATTCCAGGATCCGCAAAAAGAATTCTTTACTTATTTGAATTCACTCTTCAGGGCGTTTCCTTTGCTTAAAAAACTGTTTTTTTTTATTATTTGCATTTCCCCCTTCCTCTTACCTCCGTTCTTCTTATTTAATATTTGCGGTTCCGAGGAAGTAAGAAAACATAGTAGGTATTCATTTTTTTCATATAATTCAAATGGAATCTTGGATATTATATCAATGTTACAATGAGTGTAAAATTTCTTATAATTGCTATTTATTTAGATACTTTTCAGATATTCATGGTCGAATTTATTAAAACTGCTTAATACATATTTTAAAATATAAAATGCAATACAAGTGTTTTTCAAGAATCCGTGCATAGATGAAATGTGGCTGATCCTCTATTTGGTAGAGGATTGAAAATGCATTTTCATCGTTGATGACTTTAGGGTTTTACGTCTCAAAGCCCAAACCATTTTCATTGCCAATTTTATTTCTTGTAATTCGTGAGTTAGAGGTGTCCATGAAGTATTCTGTAGTTTGGAATGCCGTTCCGATTTCCAGCAATTGTACTATCTTTTACTGTGTCAGGTACTTAATTGTAGAGATGACTGGTGGACCTGGATACTGAGTTGTATAGCCGTGATAGAAGAAAAATAATTTTTTTCATATTTAAGGCAATAATACTTCCAATTGTCTTCAAATTCTTTTAATTACATTTGTTATCTCTAACGTTTCGGGACAATTTTCCCATCATCAGAGAAATCTTCATCTTCACTGAAATCATGCACATTTTATATTAACTTTAATGGATATTGTTGTTTTTTGAATTTCAATATTTGATATTATGTCCGAATAGTGTGTACCTAAATGTTTTGTATCTGTTTTATAGTTTACTGTTCTATTATTGTTTTTTGTTATATGTATAGGCTTTCAGCAGTTTCCTATTATTTGTTTTTGGTTCTATTGCTAGTATTTCTGGGTTTTTGAAGTCAAAAGTGTGTAGTGATTTGATACTATGGTTTGCTAGGGCTGTTATGTTAATGTTTTTACTATTTTTGCAGTTTGATGTATGTTGTGTTATTCTGGTTTTTAGTTTTTTTGATGTTTCACCTATATATATTTGTTGGCAATGTTGGCAGTCTAAACCCAGAAATACTAGCAATAGAACTAAAAACAAATAATAGGAAACTGCTGGAAGCTATACATATAACAAAAAACAATAACAGAACAGTAAACTATAAAACAGATACAAAACATTTAAGTACACACTATTCGGACATAATATCCAATATTGAAATTCAAAAAACAACAATAGCCAAAAAAAAACACAACAAACAGCCATAATAAAAAATAAGAAGACAGGTACAAAGAACAGAAATAAAACTAAAGATAGCCAGATGTTAGTTAGTGTATCAATGGATATAAAAAGATGTGTAACACCAAAAAAATATTTTTTAAAAAATGTGACAAATATTTGATTTTTGACAAATGGTGCCACATCAAAAAAAAAAGGTAAATAATTGTACAATAGATGAAGTAGAATGATATTGTTAAAAAAAAGTTAATATAAAATGTGCATAATTTCAGTGAAGATAAAGATTGCTCTGATGATGGGAAAATTGTCCCGAAACGTTAGAGATAACAAATGCAATTAAAAGAATTCGTAGAAAATTGGAAGTATTATTGCCTTAAATATGAAAAATTTATAAACGTAGGCTTCCTAATAAAAAAAGAAAAATAAGAAGATAAGAAAAATAAAGAGGCTTAAAATACCCTTTTTTTTTTTGCTAATATTTTCCAAACGGGAACAAAATTGGAACTCAGATTAAGAAAGTATTAACGCAGCCGAGTTGGTTTGACAGAAAGCAACGTTAGTTTCATAACTCGCTATGAGGAAAGATAAAAAAGAATAAGAAATAGTCCCCTCGGAAGGAGCAAAATCGAAGAAAAACTTTCCAACAGTTAGTGCCATTAAACGGTAGAAGGATTGGGGGAGGGGGGAGGAGGAAGGAGAGGAAGGAGAGAGGGGAGGGTAAGAAGCCATTATTGGGGCAGTAGATGGAGATCTTTAAGGGGGCTTTGTTCGCGATCCAACGGTTTTAAAACCTTTTCCATGGATCATTTGTTACAATATCGTCCATAATTTACTTTGTGTTTGTAACCCCAGACATTTCGGGATTGAGATTGATAAATTGGGTAATAAAAGGACTTTAAAAAGGAAGGCATAAAAATTTTATGATAACGTTGGAACATTTGGAAAGGGATGGTTATATGAAGGCATTGTTTAATATTTCTTATTACAACAATTTTTCTTTTTAATCATTGTCTCTTGTATTTTATATAAGTATGTTTATATTTATTTTTTTTATTGTGATTAGTTTGTTTCTTTTTGTTTATATAGGTGATCCATATGTGAACGGAAATATTTATAGGAGGGATATCAGACCTCCGAAGAGCTACTAAAAAGTTCATAAAAACATTGGTCCGATCTTTGGCAGTAAAGTAAAAAATGTTTAATGTTGTTTGTTAAAAACTAGCTAAAGAAATATTTAATTTTTGTAATTAACAGCAGCTTCACTATAAACTAGACAAAATTTACTTCAAACAAAAATAGAGTTTGATTATACGATCTTTAGCAAAAATGACTACAATATATTATTGCAAAGCTTTAATTTCTTCTTTGTCGATGACCTGGGATATATGATAATAAATATAAATGTATCGATACACATTTATTTCTAATAAAAAGTTAAACATCATACCCAGCTCATCGAAATATAAGAAATTAAAACTTTGCTAAGAACTCGGACACTCTTTGATGTCAGGATATAAGATCACACCATCTTCATACACAACTTGCGGTCAATAAACCTCAAATTAATTAATATAGACTTAAACCTTATCAAACGAACAAGTTTTTATGGAAGTGGAGTATCTGTAGTGTAGTGGGAGGATGGTAAAAAAAGTAGTGAATTATTTATGGCTTTTTTTAAAAAGATATGAACTTAGCTTAGTTTATCCTCTCTACGCTCCTCTTCAAATGGTTTGAACAATGCCTAACTCTATTTTCTTGTTAAGTAAAGTTTATGTGGTTTACAATAACAGTGATTGGTAATTACTTAAATTAAATGTTTATTTAGTTAGCACTTGCTCTTAAACAAAAAACATGACTCTAAAAATCACAAAACTTAATTTTTCTACTTTTCTGCTGAAAATCGGACCATCGGTGTAGGAGTGAAAACATCAAAAAGGTAAGATTAATAATATGAAATATAAATTATAAATAATAGCTCATTATAAAGAGTTTCGCAACAGTCTTGCAGTCACCTATTAGCTTATTACTATAGAGATGTTACTGTAATTTTTTAGATAGAAGAAACCTAACTAATCCAAAATAAAAAAAAGAAGAGTTAAATGCAAAAGTATATTGGTTATGCCAATTCTTTACATATATTAACTAAAATTGTCAAATATTAGTAACTATTTTGCCTTAATTTTTATTCAAAAAATCTATTTTTTTTTACCAGCCTTGGTCTTGGGTCTTGCAAACAGTTAGGCG